ATACTTAACTATTAATTTTGATAGCTTTTCATATAATATTTTCGGTTGCCACGTGTTACTATTTATTATAAAATTCTCACCTAAAATTTCAGATAACATTTTTGGATTAAATTTTCGGATAAGATTTTCAGTTGCCACGTGTCTATCAAATTTCAGTAAAAAATTTCAGATGAGATTCTCAGTTGCCACGTGCCTTATTTCAGATAAGATTTTCATATATTTATTAAAAAAAATTATAATGTCAGATTGAAGATAAGATTTTCACCTTCTAAAATTGCGTCACGTGTCCCATGTCAGATAAGATTTTCATATATTTATTAAAAAATTATAATCTCATATTTCAGATAAGATTTTCACCCTCTAAAATTGCGTCACGTGTCATCTCTATCTTCTAAATCCCTCTATAAAACTACACCCTCAACTTTATTTTTTGATACAAATGGAAAGTAGTATAAAAATGTGAGTGGAAAGTAAAAAATATTGGAAGGAGAAGAGTTTGTATGAAGATTTGGTGTGGAAAGTAAATAAAATTGTTAGGTATTTATAGGGAAAAAATCCAGAATTTTTTGGTATTGTTTTAATAAAATTTCAGAATTTATTCGAATGGCCGTAGGATTTCTTGAAAAAAAAAACCATCGTAGCTTCCGTGAAGCGCCATGTGGCATTTTCCCGTTGGGTTCTGTTATGGCTGACGTCAGCGAGTGAAAGTCAAATTTTTTTACTGTTGGCGCGTGAAACTCAAGCACCAATTGTATAAAAAAAAAAAATGAATTGCACTCACTGACGTCAGTGTAACGTCACCACTGACATCAACGCAACGTCACCACTGACATCAGCACCTTCGGGCTTGCGCCCAGGCAGGATTTGCCTGTGGGCTTGCCCGGGCTAGTGGGACCCAGGGCTTGCCCGTGCCGTCCGTTGTGTGCTGGAGGTCCAAACCTTGTTGCAGGGGAGGGGGGCCTGTTGCCCTGTCAGATATGCTGCGCTGAAGGTGCCCTTAGAGAGAAGTAGTGGTCACTCACTGCTTTTCGTTGTCTCATCATGCATTGAGAGCCCATCCATAACTTATCAACATGATATTGACACTATTATTTGATCGCTTGATGCGATGCATACTGTGCCGAAAACAGTGTGTGTACCTATTTGTTGAGAGATCCACATGTTCCACGATTTGGGGCAAACGTGAGTAAGTTAAGGGATTGATAGGCATAGGTTTGGCCACAAACTAAAACCCCATATACTTATGCTAAGGCTGTGTTTTTTTTTCGACTGGCCTTTAGAGCTTAGAGTTTGTTACTACAACATGCATATTATTTTACTAGATTTGTTTTTTTTTTTTAATTGTTAACATGCCGTAGAGAATAGAGAAGACGTGAGTTAATAGTAAATGTGGGAATAAGTTATCTACCACCAAAGCTGTAAGCCTCGGAAAAAATTAATATGTCAAACTATTTGAATGGATCATATCACGTACACTTGGACTGATTAGCCGTTCACGCTTGAGTTTGACAGTGGGAGATCAGACTAACTTTTTCTTTTAACATGAAAAAGTAGAAAAAGAAACTTAGTGCTCTTTTGTTTCCATTTATAGGAAAAAGGAGAGGCACGCCCCATAAAAGGATAATAGCAATGATTTAAACATAAATTCATGGGTTTTGGAGTCCCCACTTCCCATGCAAATGAGAAGATTCTCTAAGGAAGTGGTCTACACAGTTCTGCGGATATATACAATTTACAAAGCCTTGTCACTCTCAGAGTCTCACTCTCATCTCAGCTACAAAACCCTACAAATTAACCAAGGTGATGACAAGGCCCCAAGGCCATGAAGCCATACAATTCCAAGCTTCTGCGCATCTCATTATACATCACTATCGAACCTTTTTTTTCTCTCAGAATGCCATTTCAATCATTTCGAGTTCTCAACCAAAATGTGCCTGAAGCCGAAGCCAATGGGTTGCTCAAGTGTTAGCTAGTGATTTGGGCACTTCCATTTCTCATTATTAATTTGTCATCTTCGGGTAGATATTTCTTGGATCCAAAGTAACATTTTCATGATATTTCAAATACGTGCAATCATCCACAAACGAAGTATGAATTAACCATGCTACCTTTTGTTCAATAATTGGTTAGCTTGTATAACAAGTCAACATCTACCACAAATAAAAGCATATGCACTAGTACTATAAAGAAGCTTCGTACCATATGAAGTGAAAGAAAAAGACTGAAAAAGCTAGCTTATCCCTGAACATAAAAAAGTTGGGTTAGACAAATATCAGAAAGAAAATATCTCTCACGGGGAGAAATTCAAGATTCAAGACATGATCAAAATAGGATGCTCCTCACACAGAATAAGACCCACCATTTCTCTATCCATTGGCGTCTTATCACCGATGACAACATGCAGCATTACCTACTTGACCCAGGGAAAAAAATTTAATTGAAGAAAAGCTTTTAAAATCTTTGAAATGACCTTTCAACTTGTTTGGTCGACATTTTGTCAGTTATAATATAACTGTGTACACTGCATATTTAATTAGTGTGATTAGCAAATGTGAGATTGATCATGGTTACTAAAAACATATTAATAAGAAATTATGGCATCAATCTTAGCTCACAACCCTATAACCATTGACTTAAGGGATACAATTTGGTTTTGTTTCATGTCACAAAGCCGTCATTGCTGTAATAATTTTATCCATCCATCGACATATACTTATTTTTCTTTTCCGCCGTTACAATATTATAAAATACACTGTATACATACAGTTACGTATGTAATGTGTATGTATATTGCCTATATACACAGGATACTTGGAGTGCAGATGTGATCACAACAATCCACTGCTGTAATGGCAAATTAAAACAAAAATAAATAAAAATATCTGGCGACGTATGCAAGGTCTGAAAAATTATTTAGACAAGACTTTTGTTGGGTCAAGAAAATTTTGATGGTATTCTATATCGATATGTGTGTGATCTTGTAAACTCCACGCATTATCTAGTGATGATTCAACTTTGAGGGGACATTGAGTACCAA